TTGTTTGTTCCTCTGGCAGTCCGTGGTGTATTCAATGTTCTTAACCAACACCATAATTCAAAGACATCATTTCTTCTTCAGTCTTCCTGAGACGAAGTCTCAGCATCCTCTCTTCTAAGGAGTATTCTGGCTGTACTTCTTCCAAGACAGATTTGTTTGTTCCTCTGGCAGTCCGTGGTGTATTCAGTGTTCTTAACCAACACCATAATTCAAAGACATCATTTCTTCTTCAGTCTTCCTTATTCATTGTCCAGGACTCACCTGCATATAAGGCAATCAAAAATACCATGGCTTGGGTCAATTCCGCAGAAAGACAATTTCTAGCATAGACATGTACACAAAGCCATATTTTAAATAAATAGTTAGAGTAGAATAAAAGCATTAAAGACACACAGGGATTCAAAAATTCTCCTCCAATTCACCCTTCTGAGAAAGATATCGGAGGATATGCTCCAATAAACAAGGGAGTAATTAAGAAAAAGACGTGGACTCAGGAAAGAGGAGTTTTAACACAAACAAAAGGCAAAGGGAATTCATAGGATAAGAAATATGCAGCAGGGCTAGAAAGCTGTGAGTCCATATGGCAGCAGCAGGGCAGAGGGCTCCAGGAGTAATGTCTCCTAAGGGGTAAAATGAACATGTTAGATCAACTGGTGTGTTTGAAAATTTGAGGGGAAATGTACAGTTCTGTTAGAGGGTTTGGAGTGAATAAGTATATTATGCAGCTCAACTGATTATTGTATTTGCATAATTAAAAGGATGTAAACAGTGAATATTAATTTATTCAAAATGGTGATATAACTATATTGGAAGGATGGGGGAAGGGAGTATGTTCAGATGAGGGCTTCAGGGAGGGGGTTAGGGGGTATTGTAAAGGAAAGAAATCCTCTTCCATAATAGAAATTTAATAGAAAAAGCAAAATGAGCCTACTACTTGGAAAGATGATAAATACCAAGAAAAAATAAAAACAGCTAAAATCTTTGAAAATGGTTAATTCTAGAAACCAGGAATCCAGAGTTGTAGGGGGAGAGTATTGCAGGTTTTTTTCTGTTATAAGCCTCGTAGTCATATTTGGAGTATTTGATGGGGCTCAATTATATTATTTGCCTTCCCATCTTGGTTGTAAAAAAATGGAGAAATAAGAAAAAGGAGTGGCAGGTGGAAGATAAGCTATCACCACTATTACCAATAAAGGCTAATTTGGGGAGATGGTGAGCGGTAGCACCAAACTTATTGATTGAACCCCCCCTCCCCGCAACGCTGGGCCAACAGAGACCTGCTCACACGGAATCAGGATGTTAAGACACCCCCTCCCACCCCATCCCACGTGTATACACTATTTGTATGCGGGAGGGAGAGGCGTTGCTTAACTGACAGACAGCTTGAGATGTCTGAGCTGGGGACAAATATGATTAGTATGATTAGTGACATATTTATTTTAATTTTATAAAATAAATAAAACAAGTATTTTATTTCGGTCCTCCAAAACCAAAGATACAGCACATTCCTGTTGGCGTATCCTACATCTAAGGCTCAATACACATGTATTTTCTTTCTCAGTATTGTAGACTTTATTATAGGTTGAAATTCTGAATCAGCAATAGGTAAAGAGAGAATGTGGTTTAAGAAGGAAGATAACAGGCACATAATTTTTTGAGCTGTTAAAAAGAAGAGCTTTTGTGACCCCCATATACTTACCATAATGTTTTCAAGGTTCATCCATGTTGTAGCGTGTATCAGGATTTCATTTCTTTTTATGGCAGAGTAATGTCCCATTGTATGTATGTACTGCATTTTGTTTATCCATGATCCCACTTGTATGAAATATCTAGAATAGGCAAAGGTAGAGAGACCAAAGTTTATTAGTGGTTACCAGGGGCGGGAGGGAAGGGAGGAGGGAGAGTCATTGCTTAGAGGGCACAGAGCTTCTGTTAATTGTGACGGAAAAAATTGGAAATAAAAACAGTGGTGGCTATTGTACAACATAGACCCCTGAGTGGTGCAAACAGTTTGCACTTGCTACTAACCTAAAGGTTGATGGTTTGAACCCACCTGGCACCATGAAAGAAATGCCTGGCGATCTGCTTCTGTAAACATCACAGCCCAGAAAACCCTATGGAGCCGTTCTACTCTGTTAACACATGAGGTCGCCATGAGTCAGAATCCACTTGATGGCAACAAGTTTGGGTGCATGACATGACTGACATAATGAACGTCACTGAATTGTACATGTAAAAAATGTTAAAACAGCAAATGTTGTGTTTTGTATATATATATATACTTACCACAATAAAAAAAATTATATAAACTAAAAAAAGAAAGAAGCGCTCGCTCACATCAGAGTGGGCTGTCCTGATTCTGGGCCCTCTTCTCCAGCACAACTCACTTAACAGTATTATTTATCCTTATTTCCTTGCTGATGCGGCTCTGGGAGACAAAAGGGCACCCTGGAGGTCACTCAGGAAGTCCCTCGTGGAATCAGGAAGACAGCCAATGTTTGAGACTCCAGGTCCCTTGGTGAAATCAATAGACCCCACTCCTGCCCTCCTCCTAGACGTCTTCACATCAGCACTGCGCCCTACCTTAGCACTCTGGAGCACTGAAGCTGAGCTCATGCTGCAAAGGGAAACTGAATTTTTGTGCTTCCTGGGCATTCAAGCCCAGAAAAATTCCTGATCCTAATGTAAAAATAACCTGTCATCTCCTAAGTGGCTAAGAGGAAAGAGCAATACTTTGGGTGCGTTGTTTTAAGTGCTTTTGCTGGAATCGCTGTCAAAAGCAAAGAAGCCTGTGCTTGCATCCTTCAAACCCACAGATATTTTCTTCTGCTTTTATGTTTCTCATTGAATTGGAAGGGGAGAGCCACCAGCCAAAAAAATGAGCCAAATGCCAAGGAAAACAAAGTCAGTCCTGGGCTGGGGAGCTGAGGAGAGCATTTTTTACAGAATATCGGGATTTTACTTGGATATTTACGCCCGTGATTTTTAAATAAGCAAAACAGATCCTCTTAGGAAGCAGACAGTTATCCTGATTGTGGACTGGCTTGCGGAAAAGAAATTCACAAGAACCATCTAAGCAGGCAATCCCAACAGGAAAAATGGAGCAAGCTTGTTGTTCGCTGCCATCCAGTCTGGCCCCCAACTTGTGTGGACCCCATGCACAATGGAATGAAATCCTGCCAGGGCCTGCACCATCTCCATGATGGGTTGCAGCTGGGACCCTTGTGCTCCATAGGGATTTCATTGGCTGATTTCCCGAAGATCACCAGGCCTTTCTTCTTAATCTATCTTAGTCTGGAAGTGCCGCTGAAACCTATTCAGCATCATAGCAGCATGCAAATCCCTGACAGATGAGCGGTGGCTACATGTGATGTGCATTGGCTGGGAACTGAACCCAGGTCTCCTTCATGGAAAGTGAGAGTTAGACAGAGACTAAAAACCTCAGTCATATACAATGAGAACTGGTACAAAGAAACTCGGGCTTTGGAGCCAAAATTGGGTTCAAATGCGAGCTGTTTGATAGTGGAGAGGCTACTTAACCTTGCTGAGCCTCAGTTTCTTCATCTATAAAAGGGTAATAATCATAGTGATAAAACTCATGCGATCGGAGATGGGAAAACTCCTAGTTCATGGTAGCTGCATAACACGTCAGTTCCCTTCTTTTTTCACTCCTGTAGTCCATCGTGGTAGTGGTTAGTGCTGGCCACCCACCCTTCCCATTCTTCTCCCAGACACATAGTGCAACTGCACTTTCTTGCTCCCTTGAAGATAGATATGGCCATGGGATTTGCTTTAGCCAACGGAATTTGAGCAGTCCCTTCCAAGCTGAAGCTTAAAGAGCCCATACAGGTAGTTTCCGGCTTACAGCAAGTTCCGTTCCAACGACTCCGTCATAAATCGGTTCTGATGTAAGCTGAATACCTCATTTTTTTAGTTTTCATTATTATTGCCTTTTATTATCAGTATCTTTATAAGTTATAACACTGAACATCTGCGAGTGAACATCTGAGAATGATATCAGCAAATTATGTGCTGCAACGTTTTATGTAATACGTATTACTGCTAATAAGACGTACGAAAAGAAAACAGACGGTCATAGGTGCAGTTTGTCATAACTTGAATACGTTGTAAGTCGGGGACGACCTGTATAAGAGTTACCATGTTCCTTTTCCCTGTATGCCAGCAATGGGCAGTGTTCCATAGAGTGACCAGCTTGGGGTCAGGAGGGAGGATGACACAGCAAAACTCACAAAGGACAGGTGGTATGAGTGAAAAACAAGAACCTTTGTTGTTTTCAGCCACTGTGACTTCTGAGCAGTTAATTCAGTATGACCCACGCCCTCCTGATTGACTCACTTTCCTTTCAGTAATTGCATTTGCCAGCAGCTCATTAATTCATTCCACAGACAGGTGTTGAAGAAATGCCAAGTCCTGTGCTAGATGCAGGAAATGTAAGGGTGAGTTAGCCAATAAGCAAGATAAGCACGGGCTTACTTGTGCTTACTTGCTAGTCTGTAGTGAACAATTTCACATGGGTTACTAATCTGTAGTGAAATTATTCACTACAGATTAGTAAGTAAACACAAGTAAGCCCATGCTTACCTTGCTTACTGGGTGATCTGCCTCAGTCAGGGATTGCACATTTGGAAAAAGGCTTTGATTCTGTGGGAGGGTGCTGTGGTGTTGGGAGAGAGACAGACGCCAACCATACCTAGATGCAGAATCTTTGATGTGCTGAAAAAACGTGAAATTGTTCACTAGAGATGATCTGGTAAGCAAGGTAAGCACTGTGCTTACCTTGCCTATTGGACAATCCGCCCTGCATGACACTGATCTTGCCCTCAAGGAGTTCTGAGTAAGAGGAGGGAGGAGAAGGGAGTCCTTGTCCAGAATTTGTTAAAAATACCTCCAGGTGATTCTAATGATTAGCTATATTCAAGGTTGGGGCCCACTGCTTTAGTGCAGATGGAATCCTTTCTATATATACTGATTGCTTGCAGATATTGATAACGGAGAAGCTAGAGACTGAAATAAAAAGCAGAAAGAAAGTGGTGCGTGGGGAGCGAATGAAGAAAAAGATGGTTAAACTGACAAGGTAAAGTCTAAATACTTCATCTTGTCCCTAGGTTGTCCAGAACTTCCTGACTCAGCTCTATCTTCCCTTCATGATAATTTACTAGAATTTCTCTTCCTTTAGACTAAATGTCAAGTCAAAACAATATAAAATTGCTTACCATTACTGTAACTCTGGAGCCATTTACCTTAAAAAAAAAAAATCTGAAGGTGTAAAATACAAAGCCAACACAATGAATCTCTAATAGTGGAATTGCAGGCACAGTGCCAAATGGGGTTGTAATTTTGGATGGGGGTAAGGGCACCTTCCCAACACTACCCTAAATCATGCCATTTTATATTTCTTTGTGAAAGTGATATGTGTGCTTAGCAAAAGTATTAACTAGCACATTTTGGGCAGCTTTATATTAAAGTATGACTCCATGCTTTTCAAAATTCATTATTGATTCTTGAAAGGCTTCTCTCAAGAATCACAAAAAGAGCCCTGGTGGCGCAGTGGTTAAGTACTCGACTGCTAATCGAAACCACCAGCCACTCCAAGGGAGAAAGATGGGACAATCTGCTTCAGAGGAGATTACAGCCTTGGAAACCCTATCGAGCAGTTCTACTCTGTGCTACAGGGTTTCTATGAGTTGGAATCGACTCAGTGGCAATGGGTTTATCCCTAACTGGTAATCACCAATGACTCCCATAAACCCTATTAAATTCTATGTTCAAACAAATCATACAGTAAATAGCAGAAGGGTAAATAAAATGCCAACTACCATTTATTTAAAAAAAAAACAAACCCATTGCCATGGAGTTGATTCTGACTCATAGTGACCCCATGTGCTTCAAAGTAAAACTGCGATCTCACAAAGCAGATTGCCAGGCATTTCTTCTCTGGCACCACTGGATGGATCTGAGTTTAGTTAACTGAGAACAAACCAGTTCTGCTACCCGGGGACCTAATGTTTATATTTGTTCAGATATTGTCTTAGTTACCTAGTGCTGCTTTAACACAAATGTCACAAATGGGTGGCTTTAAATAACAGAAATTTATTTTCTCACAGTTCTGGTGGCTAAAAGTCCAAATCAAGGTCTCGGCTATGTTGATTCTTCTTTGTAGGTACCTCTGGGTGTTCCTTGGTTCCTTAGCATTTCTTGGCTTGTAAATGATCCTCACAGGGCTTCTGTCTTCTCCTGTGTGTGTCTGTGTGTCCATTCAGCCCTTTGCATAACTCAGAAGTGATTAGTGAATACAGAGTTTTACTCTTATGTCAGAGGTAGTAAGCTTTTGGGATAAAAGGGTTGTTCCCCCTAGCCCAAGAAAGGCATGGAGAACCCCTTTCTGACCTGGTAGGGTGACCAGGAGGAAAGTAGAGGGTAAGGAGTGTGGGAAACACAAGCTGAAAGCCTCAAAGGCTTCACGTGGTGGGCACCTCTTGGGAGTTTTGGGGTGGTCATAGAGCTGGCTAAGAGGGGCTTCCGCAGTAATGGATTTGTCTCATCTTCATCCCCTTTGGCGGGAATTCTTCCCTGTAATCCTCAACATGGCATTTCAATCACCTCACACGCATGTGAAAGCTAGACAATGAATAATGAAGACCAAAGGAGAATAGATGCCTTTGAATTATGGTGTTGGCGAAGAATATTGTATATACCACAGACTGCCAAAAGAAGGAACAAATCAGTCTTGGAAGAAGTACAGCCAGAATGCTCCTTAGAAGCAAGGATGGTGAGACTTGTCTCATGTACTTTGGATGTGTTATCAGGAGGGATCAGTCCCCGGAGAAGGACATCATGCTTGGTAGGGTAGAGGGTCAGTGAAAGAGGAAGACCCTCAGTGAGGTGGATTGACACAGTGGCTGCAACAATGGGCTCAAACATAGCAACAACTGTGAGGATGGTGCAGGGCTGGGCAGCGTTTCGTTCTGTTGTACCTAGGGTCACTATGAGTTGGAACCAACTCAACAGCACCTGACAACAACAACAATCCTCAACATTTTGCTTCCCATGCAGGGCAGAAGGGAACATTGAGTTGGGAGTTCTGAAGCCAGAATCTGAACTCTGTGACTCAAAATGATTATGTTTTGAGTCTCAGTTTCATCACTCCTAAACATGAAAGGTCAGTCAACAAGTCTGTTTAAAGACTTTCAAGAGTCCAGACCATCCCAACCCGAGACTCCAGAAACCCTGGGCCCACATAGTCCACCTGGATGCCTTTTCTCTGGACATCTTTTCCACCATTAGACTCAGGCCTTACTTTGACTCCTAAAGAAACACGTGACTGATATCACTACTATCTGCATATAATTGGGGAAGAGGGGTTGCTCAGCATGGATGACCCCAACGTTGGCAGCACTTTCAGCCTTTGGGAATCTGGCGCATCACTGACCTGTGCAATTTCTCCTTTCTGCCCTTGCCCGCCTGCAAATCCTGCAAATTTCCCACTGCAGAGAAATCTCCTAAGAGGCCGCTGCCGGCGTGGGCCTCTGCACCCGGAGACTTGGAGCAGCGGACGCGGAGCTGAAGCGCTGCGGTCCCGCTCCCGGCGCGGAGGCGAGAGGGAGGGGCCGGCGGGGGCCGGGCAGCGC